GATAAAATGCACAAATGTGTGTTTACATATTACCATATTTCTTTAATCATTAGTTGGTCACATTGTTAGTCAGTAGTTGGTAACAATTTACAGGATACAGCAGAAATGTCTGGCACAACTTCACCCACTGTCAAGTTGCGCAGACAAGGAAAAAAAAACCTGGAAAACAAAAAGTCCAGCAATGTTTGCAGTGTTTTCAGCAACTTTAATGAGAAGGCTAATGCGTTTCAGCAAGAAGCCTTTGTCAGAACAGACCCTGATGAAGTCTTCATACAAAACACGTTAGTCTTCTCATTAAAGTTGCTCAAAAACTGCAAGTGTTGCTGGGCTTTTTGTTTTCCAACAACTTACAGTATGAAATACAGTGGTCTCCACAGTGAAGATGATTTTTAACCACTAGCAACTGAAGAGAGGCAGGCAAGTGCACAGGACGATGAAATTGAGGTGAAGAGAGGTCGCACAACGTCAGTGATCTGGAAATGCTATAGATTTCTAAAGCTGGATAAACAGCAGAGCGATATCTGTGGTAGAATATGTAGGCATCCAAGGACATCCTCTAGCCAGCGTGGTAAATAATATGACATAAACCTACTGAAGTGGTTTAAAGAGATTGGGATTGGCTCGTGTCAAGCAAGATGATGCATTATGGGAGAAATATGTGAGTGGGAACTTTAAAATGCACCTTAAATTCAGCTGGTTAAACAAAATCAGATTACTTGTGCAACAGCATATGATTATTCACACTACAATATCTCTGAACTACAGTATATCGGAGTTCCTGATGTTCTGAATTACAGTAAGTAAACACTCTGCAGTTACTCCGAGCTCTACAGGGCTTTATAGTACCATCATAATTCAGCTCAGTGTTTTGGTTTTATGGCCCACAGTGATATTGTTTTGGTTCAGTCTCACCACTCTCATAGTGTCATTTCCAAATGGCTGTTCTCAGCAAACAAGCTCAAAAACCCCCGTGTACGCTACCTGTTAAGTACCAAACGGCAAGCAGAGTTTGTGACTAGCTATTAAACATACATGAACATTCCTAAAGAGTTAGTGAAGACCAAACCCGGCATAGAAAGAAAATGAATATTGACTTGTACTGTATTCATCAGTTGACGAGAAGCGTGTCCTCAAATAAGGGCTAGTGTTGTTCTGTACTACTGGATATACGGTATAAATAGACCTCAGTTTCCTGAAGAATAAACAATATCATCTTTATAAAGTGATAATGTGCTAATATTATGTTTGCAGCTTGTTTCTACTGCTCTCAAGTGGCCAATAAATTGATTATTAAACGTTTAGAAGATGTTCAGGAACCAATAGTACTTTGAATTAGCTTTTCCACATAGGTGCTACTTTGAAGGTATAATAAACCTGCACTATAATGTCAGGTTTCACTTCAGACTTCTCGTTGATTATGATCCACTGTATGTCTGTGTCTCTATATCTACATGGCATTGCTTGTTACACTTTGGAGTTGCAGTGTAGCTGATGATTAATGCACATTGCTAGAAACACTGTATTAGGCACTGGGTTATGCGCAGTGTTCCTGGAAGGGGCAATTTGTTTCTTTCCTCTCAGTCCTCAGAGTATTGATCATTGATTGAATGGCTTCTCCCTCCAGCTTTTCACCTCTCTCCTTTGCTGGACATTGCTGTACATGTCATTTTCTGACTCATGACTCTGTTTTCACGTTTTGCCTCAGCAACAGATTATTTATCCCATTTTACTATGTTTCTTCATTCATTCATTGCATTAACATTTCCTTTAAGCATAGTCTGCCATGGTCAATCATGGTATGCATTTAAGGTCTTAAATGGTCATTGTCAATGTATTACTGTCATTTTTTGGTTTATTTAAATTTGAGGATCAGATAACTAACTCTGAATCACAGGGATGCCTACATTCACTTTCCCAGGCATCTTGTGTCTTTATTTTAGTTTATGGCAGAAAAGTCAGACAAATTGACGGTTTGTTGTTGTTTTTTTCATCACTAAACCTTCACATCCAATATTTTACTGAGTTTCCGGCTTATTATACTAAATATTCTCCCATCTGTTTTGTTTCCCCACTTGTAGAACATACTGTATATCATCACACCTTGTACTTTTTACGAGGCATCAAATTCAAGCTGATATGAGGTGATATCACATGTCATGTGAAACTTTTTGATGTGATTTCTGTCAGTGTTGGCAGAAACTCACACTCAATGATGTTCAGATTAATTTAAATCATCTGCAGTAAATTCTGTGAACATTGAGCGCTGAACACATTCAGGGCAGTTAGTTTTGGCTAATGGTAAAACATGCAAATGTAAACTGAAGCACTTGAAGGCATGACTGATATGGTTGAATACCCATGTATACTGTAAATCAGATAACCTCCATTTGTTACTTGCAATGCGAAGATGTTGCACAGTTTGTTGCACATTTAAAAGTAATTTGACAAATGAATTAATCATAACAGGAACAATGGTGTGGGTCTGTAAAGAATAAAGTTGGTAGATATGGAAAAATGCCCACAAAGGGGAGGAAAACAAAATGGTGTTTAACCATAATTTTCTTGTCATCTGTCAGTAGTCAGTTGATGATAATTGTTACAGAACGAATGCCGTCAGTTACCACAAGTCCGATATTAAATTACGTTCATATTTAACACAGTAAGCATTATGTTCTGTACACAGTTCTGTCCTGTTTTCTCACAGTTTATCAAACCTATCATCTTTAATTTATAGCGGTGTTGGTGGTGTGCTTGCCGCAATAGTAAAGGCATCCAGCACAGTAACTTCTCAGGATTTGTTCTCTGCAGGTAATGTTGCTGGCTGTCTGCGGAGGCCACATGACAGCATGGTTATCCCCACTGCAGTCACGAGCATAGACAGCAGGCCATCTGTTAGATTTAGCTTCCAACTGCAAGCTCCTCATCCCCCAAAGAATTTACTTTATCACTTAAGAGTCAAATACATTGTTAATGTTTGTTACTGGATGTTTTCTTTAATTTAGGTCAGAAACTGTGAAAACCAAAGCCTTTAGTTAGTGCTAACAAAATAGATCATGTGTTATTTGTGACAAAACACTTCTGTTCCTTCACCACCAGTTTGTGAAGACAATTAAAGGGAACTTATTGGAATTTTCCTGTGGCAAGTGAAGTCGAGTTTTTTAATGCATTTTCCAACATAATAAAATGTACAAAAGCTGGAAGCATCCTGAATACTTTCTGAAGCCACTGTATGTGTTTTTATCTCATTTTACTCGAGTGGTCAAAAAATTCTTAATACAGCTTTAGGCAGAATGTGATTAATATATAAATGAATATACTATAGCAGTGACAAAAAGAACAACATATATAGCAATAATCTTCACTGGGTCATAACAGTGAACACTCATGTATGATGGAGAAGCACTATGTAATAACACAAAACCTAGGAAGAGAAGGTGGAATGGTTTGTCATCTGCCCACTGTTTCAGTGTTGACTATTCCTTCATTAGCTCCATCTTGGTTTGCCTCTGCCCTGACACACCAGCCTCTCTGTATGCCATGCTTATACTGAGATAATCAGTGTGTGCATGGCTCCTTCAATGCATGGCAGTGATAATTAGGCCCCAGAGGATATGTGAATTGACAGATTGATCATTTTGACCCAGTCCAGCTTGCACTCAAGGCAGCAGTGCACATCGGCTTTCTATTTCCACCAGGAACTTTCATTGTTAAGGTATTAAAGTGTGCTGTCATTCAGCTGTATGTGCATGATTGAAAGAGCCAAGGTATAGGACCTGGTAAATTGAATTTAGATATGCTAGGAGAAGCTACATTTTTGGGTTTTGGTGATGAAAAACAGTGTTCATAAAATGTGAGTGAAATTGTGATATGATGGGTATCTGTGCATGTGGCCCTTTACTGTTGTCCCTCCTTGTCACCTTCATTGTGTACTTTAGGGCTGCAGTATGTTTACTTCAGTGAAGGCCTTTGAGGGGCAGCAGTACTCCACCCTGAAGAGGGAGTGCTTGCAGAGTGGCCTGCTCTTTGAGGACCCCCGCTTCCCCGCCACCGATGACTCACTTCTTTACCAGGGCAACAGGATTGGCCGTGTAGTCTGGAAGAGGCCACGGGTAAGTTGGTTTGCACAGTAAAAGAGCTGATGGATATTTTTGGTTTGAGGCTGCTGATATCACTTACTGGCTGTTATCAGGTCACATAAGGTTATCAGCAGATCTGATGGCTCAAATAAACTAAATGCAAATGCATCCAAGACACACAAATGCCTCTAGGATGGACTGAAAGGGAGAAAAGCAGCTCCAGCACTTTTAGCTGACTCCCATTTGAGTCGTTGAGGTGCTTGATTAAATGATTGATTCTTTAGATTGATATTTTTTTCGTTGCAGCAAAGATTTTGGTATGATGGGGTGCCATGGAGAAATGCTACCAGCATAAACCCTGAATATGGGTGTCATTTTATTAAAAAATAATCTTATATATTTACTTATGTAGGCCACAGGACTTTATAAAGAAAAATGAGTCAGACTTGGTGGTGCATGGTGGTGCAGCAACCGTTGAATAGCAACAGACAGGAGTGGAACATCTGTGATTTTAAATGAATTCATTATGTTGTATTTAATTCATAATTTAAGAAACTTGGTGTTTATTTAATCTATCCTTTATTACCTTAAATTACTCCAATTTTGTGGAAGATATAAGTCATAAAAAATGGTGTAATTGTGAGAAAAGAGCACTGTATTTCATAAATGTTAATGTGACTGTCGATTAAGGAAATAGCTTAAAATCTGCGTCCCTGTGTTTTGGTGGCAGATGATATCAGATGCAAAGTGTCAGGATTTAGAGAGCCGACTCCCCTGCCACTGTTACTCCCCTTGCAGGCGGCGGCTCTGGATGGAGTAACCTCCTCCTGCCTGTGTGCCACTGCAGGGACAGCCAGCGTGCATTGCCATGGAAACTCGGTCACACAGATTATATGTTTTGGTCTGTGCTGATGTCAGTCATGCAGACTGAAAATTGGGAGAAGTCAAAAGGCAAAAAACCTGAGCAGGAGGAGCATCCTTTTAATTTTTCAAGGACATGATTTGTGTCTTCCCTGACAGTGTCTTCTGTCAGGAGGTAAGGAACCCAAAACAGGCATATTTTAACTTGGCACTCTTGAGGCAAGGCACCTTTATTTGTATAGCACGTTTCATACACGTTGGCAACTGTGCAGCTTTAAAGATTTTTATTAAAGGACATGGGTGGCATGGTTGCTGTTGTTCACTTGGACTTGAATTCTAAAGATACTTCTTTAAAATGACACACCAGAACTAAATGAGCATTTAATTACTGTTCCTTCCCAAAGTCATTTTCAAAAATAGTGTAATCTCAGGTAATATAAATATAAATTATGGTCTAGAACTTGACTGTAGTCCACCAGTGACCAATTGAATGGATTTGCCTGGCAATTTAATAAAATGAACTGGTAGGAACAAACAGTGCTGTACACTTTGGTGCTTAATGATGATTTTAATATTTAGAATTGTGAAAAATGGTCGTGACGGTGTGCTATAGCCTACCTGTATAAGTGTTAGACAGTTGGATTGGAGTGGTTCAGATTTATGTAAATATGGAAATGCTGACATAAATTTTAGTGTCCTTTACAGCTTCAAAGGACTGGAAAATATTCTTTTTTAAAAGTCTTTTAGCAGCATCTGATATGCAGCAGCAAGTAGACACAGACGCACACACTAACCCTTCCTTGTGGGGACTTTACATTGACTTACATTCATTTCCTGTAGACTTATCCTAACCTTAACCATAACTACTACTTGCCGAATCTTAACCACACCCTAACCTTAAACCATGTTGCCACCCTAAAATTCAGTGATTTCCTTGTGGGTATCAGAGTCTGGTCCCTCAGAGACTTTGTTTATCATGTACAACTTATAAATCTACAGTCTTCACGAGTAAAATCATGGCAGAGAAATTCTGTGATGGACAAGAAGATACTTTTTTTCATCATCTTCTATTTCACTTGATTTGACCTGAAAATGGGTAGTAAATCACTTTTAACTTTGAATAAGTTGAAAAGGCAAAAAAAGGAAAAACGGTGCTCTTTAACAGTATAAACTACTGTATATTACCAAGACTGTGAAGTTGCTTACAGATAAACTACAGTGTCGATATTTTTATGATGAAGGAGTATGTCACAGACCTATTGAGTTTTTATTGTTTTTGGTAATGATGGAGCTCTATGGTACAGAAGGAGAAGCTAAATCAGGACACAGAGACAGTCTTTGGCAGTAAGATACAGTACATTCTTCTTGTCCTGACAAGAAGAAAAAAAATAAATCACCAGCCCTACGCTTTCAGTGTTTATATGGTTTTCAGTTGTCTTAGGTCCTGTCTCACACACAGTTCCCCACTAATTTGTCAACGAAAACCACAGAAAGGCAGCCATTCTGCTAGCTGGTCAGTGATGGAGGAAATAACTTTCTTCCTAGCCACAACTGTCAGGGCGTCTGGTAATAATGTTTACTGCTGGAAATGCTCCATTTTTGGTTTGAAACAACAAACCTCAGTCTCAACAAGACTTGATAGGTTAGTTTCAAAAAGATTAGAAGAAAAAAAGCCTTAGTTAAAGGCTAAAATTTGAAAAGGGTCTAGAAATTGTTTTACACAGGTTTGTACATTTTTATTTCAAAGAATATGAGGAAATGTCTGTGTTCTGTTTTGTCAGATGCATCTATGTGATATTTATGATTGCATTGAAGCCCCAGTGGCAGATCAAACAAGCATAAAGAGCAAGCTCTAATAAAATCCCTCTTTAATAAAATCTCAATGTCTATCTCACATCGTCTCTCAGCCTGTCTGTTTTCCTCCTGTTGCCCTTCGTCTTTTTGTCTGCCTGCATCTCTTCCTCTGATTTGTGATTATTTACTGTACGTCTTGAGTAGGCTGTGGTGGGATGATGCATTGATATATACTGTCAGACGATGGGAATTTGTTAGTTTTCTAATGCACTTAAATGAAACCAGCTTCCATTTAAGTGTATTAGGTCATTGTGGGTAAAGTGGCCTTGGTTCGATCCGCCTGATTAGTATTGATGTAGATACTGACCAGATTAAGTGGATTGGGTGTTGGCCAGACAGTTTTGTCAATGTAAAAGTTAGGGTTTCCTTCATATTCTAAGTAAAATTCAATTCTTTCGTTCTTAGGTGGTGGTTCGGTTTTTTTGGGGGGGGGGGGGGTCTCATGTTACCTTAAACACTGCCATGATTTCATGCTTTGAAAAAGCTCTGGTATCAGATTGTTATGCTGCGTCAGTCAACACTGTGTGTAGGTACCACAATTTGTATAAGGGGAAAAAGAGAGTTGAATTTTGAAATACTGTGATCAAGGCTGCCTTTTTTGAGTTATACTTATTGTTTATTAGAACTTGGATCACATTTTTGTAGTTTTAGTCTTTGTTTCTGTCAGTTGTGACATTGCACTCAGCAGTGTCATTGTACCCAGAAATCTGGAAATGGTGCTGTTGCTTTGAAGACGTGAGCAATCAGACAGTGGTTTTAAACAAGCCCCCATTTTAGTCAGCTTTATTTGGAAAAGAAAACAAAAGTGAACAGATTCCTGCAGACATTTTATGTGTGTTCATTTCAGTTTTACCTCCAAATAACTTGCTTCAGATAATCATATACTTTTGACTTGTTTACAAGCTGTCTCATGAGTAAATATGATGAAATACAGAAATTAATTAATTCAACCTGTAGTGTAGTCCAGTGAGGGCTGCTTCACTCTCTTTTGCATGAATGCCCTGTTTACACAAGATAAAACAATTTCACAAGCAAAACAAATATTTGACATTAAAAATTTTAATTAAAGAATCTGAATTCAGATAAGATGACAAGACTCATAAAACTTTGACTTTGACTAGATGCACCCTAGAAATGCATCAAACAACAGTACAAGAAGATCTACACTAGTCTGCCATGAATTTCATTTGCTGGCATTTTATGCTAATTTAAGGTCAGTAAAATATTGTAAAATTGTAAAATTAGACTGTAAATTAGATATTGCCATTAAGAGAGAAGGGGCCACAGAGTACAAACTGTCATCATTGTAAAAACAATAATTTGAATATTTTATGGATTTACAAATATTGATTTGTATAGAGAAAAGAGCAATGAACATAATATGGAACCCTGAGGAGCCTCTTTATGAATAAGTTGTAAGTTGTAATGAATCCTCCTTCAGTTCACTGTAATACCCCCAAATCAAACATTGTCAAATATTAGGCAGTTTACCTTGAAATTATTTCTGTGTTAAGAACATTATCTCTCCATATTTTAACATAAGTTTAAAATACTTTTATAATTAACGCTGTTCTGAGAAGATGGCATCCTGACTGCTAGGTAGCAAACTTGCAGGTTGAAAAATATTATAAACCTTGGTTTTGTAAATGTTTTGCTGGTGGGAAAATTGATTAATCATACTTGCTGGGCTTCAAGAAAACAATGTGCTTTCAATAGACAGCATGGGACTATGCAAAGGTTTTAGGCACTTCAGATATTGAGATTCTTATCCATTATGCAGTACCATCAGAGAGGCATCTGCTCAGTCCCAAATTCATTTAAGAACATTTAAATATGTACTGCTTGATTCCACTTTTTATATGGTGCCTTTATGTGCTGGTGGCTGGTTGTGTTGTTTGCATGTGTGACTAATGGTTTGTCTCACAAGCTGCTGAGCAGGCTATAAAGCTGGTTGAAAGGTTCTCAGTAGCAGGCTTAATCGATACTGTATTAGCCTTCCCACCGAGCCAATCTCTGGATAGAAAGGCCACCACAGGGAGCATTTGCCACTCCTCAGACTTAGCCAGTCAATGCCGCTGCAGAGAGGGAAAAAAGTAATTAGAGATCTTAACTCTAGCATTGGTCAGACATGTAGTAATTCCAGAAAACAACAGTCAAACATTGCAACACATGGCTGTGCCGACGTGCACGCACACACACACATTTCAGACAGGAAGCACTTCATTGCTGGTTTGTGTAAGGTGAGAGGCACTGTTGGTGGAGACCGCAGGACCCCAGGGAGCACTGCAGTGGCCTCTGCTTCTGATTAAAAGTTTGCTTTTGCAGCAATCGGCTTTACAGACTCAGCAAATTACTGACCTTGGCTGTGTCCTGTGTGTGTGTGCATGTGCTTTTAGTTTCTACACTTGAACATACACCATTGTGTGTATACAGTATGCTGTGATGTGATTTTATGCACATACACAGCCTGTACCTGTACTAATGCTAATGATTAACACAGGATCATCTGGGGGATTCAGCTTATTGCAGCTAACATTGAACAGTCTGTCAGAGGGCTAACACATCCTGACTAACACACTGACACTCAACATTCACATCACACTCACATTCACGTCAATGTGTTAAAATCACACAAAAAAAGCTTCAGCTAAACATTTGCCTCAGCTTGACTTCAAACCAGACCCCACATCATTTACATTCTGTTTTGTTGTGTAGGAGCTGTGTGAGGATCCTCACCTGTTTGTTGATGGCATCAGTGCACATGATCTCCATCAGGGTCAGCTGGGTAACTGCTGGTTTGTAGCGGCATGCTCCAGCCTGGCCTCCCGAGAGTCTCTGTGGCAAAAGGTAAGGCGGTACAACTTTGTATGTGTATATTTATGTTTGTCTGCTGTCCACGTCGTCTTCTTGCTTGCATTTTCTCTGCTTTTCAGTCCAAAATGGTCTCATATTTTACATATATTGACGTGTAGATGCAAGTGAAAAGAAAGTTTCAGATATTTAGTGGCTTGCATAGTAAATCTTACACACTAAAATCAATGGTGAATACTTTTGCACGATGATTGGAAATACCAATCCACTATTGCCAGTTTTATTCTGAAAAGAATGATGTCATTTGAACTGTACTAAACTATTATTCTGAAATGTTGTCTGGCATCCATCTTGACAGAAGAAACAGTGATTATTGAGGCTTAATGGAATTTGAAACGAGATGCCTCGACCCGTCTTAGCGAGACACTGGATCGTGATTGACTGCTCAAAGTATATGGACATACTGGCATGCTTTTCTGGTATCATCTTGTTTATGCTCTGTATCACTGTGTCTGTTTCACTGCACACAAGCCTAGTAACACATACACACATCCTTGCTGAATTTATCATAATGGGCGGAGAGTCAAAACAGCCTTTGTAGAGATGTTCAACTGCTCACGGTGTGCTGTTGGCAACCAACTTTACTTCCTGTGATAGCAAAACAAGTAATGGTGCAAGTCTCACAGGAGCAGACACTTCTCCCCAGTGATACTGAGTGCTGGTACTTAAAAACATTATTACTTTGTATTCTGTTTGTACAGGTTAATTACCTGCTAAACATCCTTCTTTTCATTTTGCTGTAGAGCTGTTGTTTCCTCTCTCTATATTTCTTAGATCCTTGTAATTACTCAACACACTGTAGGTTTAAATGACAGAATGTTGTTTATATCATCAGTTACTAATAAAATGATCAATTTCCCCCCAAACATGCTCCATTTATATTCAACTTATGGTCATAGGTTGACAGGCAAGAGTGAGCAAAAGGACAATTAGCAATGAAGACACTTATATTTATGTATGCAAGACTGTAGGTGAGATTGATTTTATGGAGACTTCAGAGAATGTGTAGCATTAGACTTTTTATAGGGGAAAGGGGAGGGTCAGCCTGTAATGATTTGGCAGTCCACATGTCTTCTCATATACTGTACATTCCAGTCTTATTGGTTTGATTCCCGTGGCAGTGCAGAGCAGTGAGGGTAACCCTGCAGGAGGTGGAAGAGGCAGAGGGATGTAACCCACATGCCTCACCTCTTGTTTGTCAGGGGAACCATGCCAGACAGAGACTGATGGGGCAGCAGGAACCCGTTCCCTCCGTTTGCTGAGGAGTACTCATTCACTCACTCAGTCTCACACACACACACACAAATGTGTTACACTGTCTCTATCCATTACCTCATGTGGGACCCAGGGCTAGCTATTTGTCAAACAGGAGGAGAGAGAGGATTTGCTCAACACGTCAAGCCCAAAGAAGGATCTGTGTCCATACTTTGGTTAAGAAGATCCAAATACACATTTTTGGTTTACTGGATTTATTAGTAGTTATCTGTATTTATGTCTGACATCACAGGATACAAAGGTATAAAGAAACACCTTTTGTGGTCAGTTTTTTTTTTAATAACAACAAGTTCTGTTCCAAAAGGTAGCAGAAAAGCATGATGAGCATAGTCTTGTTATTGAGTCCTTACAGAATGTCAGATGTAAATTTGAAGGCTTTTCTCCCTTCCATAACTAATTTGCTGACACTTGAGAGAGCCATTCAAACCCCCCCAAAAAATGAAGGGTTTACCTAAACTTAATTCTTCTGTTGCTAAAAGCATATAAGCACAGAATAAGTATAGAAAAAGAGTGTAGCAAGGTTTTGATTGCCAAGTCTCAACTGTCCACTGTGAAGGTGATGGAACAGTCGACAGTTTCGGGGCTGCAGCCTTCTGCAAATGCAAATAAAAAGTACATCACCTTCCTTATCTTAGCCAACTCAGCAATCCTCTCACCAAACTCATATATATCAGCCTCATAGCACTGGACAGGTGCATCATTAGCATCAACTGGCTTCCTCCAGAAGGTCCCGGTGGGCTCCAACAGTTGACGTGTCATCAGGTTGGTGAGATCAGGTGTCCAGAGCTGCGAGGTAGCTGTAATGGTGAGATGCCCTGCTTGGGCCAGCCGCACCGTCCAGTGCGAGAATTGGAGGGACTGTTTGGAGAAGTCCAGTCGGTACACAGCCTCATTGGGCTGCAGCAGACGCTCACCGTCCTGCCTCTTCTGGCCACGCTGCTGCAGAAACTGAACCCGCAGGCGCATTACCTCCGTCAGCTGGGTGTCCGGCAGGAAGGGCAACACCAGCTTTGTAGACATATCTGGAGAGCACACCTCAGCAGGCTGAGAGGTCAACACCAACTTCAAGACTGGAATAGATGGACAAATATGTCAAAACCAAGTGTCTCTGTCCAGTTACTCCGACTCTCTGCTCTTGTCTGCAGACTTGTACAGTATCATATGTGCATTTCTGTGTAGCATTGACAGAAAAGGGTGGAGGCAGAGTAAAGATGAACAGATGTGCTAGGCAACCAGATCTAATAACATTTGCAGCCACAGCACAACACTGCCCTCAGGGAACTGCGTTTAGTACTGTTTGTCACACATAAGTTTGTCTCACGTGTTTGCTTAGCTACAGATCCCTGACTCTAATGTCTGACATTAAAGGATGAGTCTGGTGATTTTCTGTATTTTTGTTATTCTATACTCAGTGAATAAATCTTGTGAAAAGACCAAAACAACACTGAATGTATCTTAATAACATGTGTATGAATTATCCTACTAAACCTGACTTTGCCTTTTTATTATTTCCATAGAGCTCTGTTGTTGTCCAAAAAGTATTAAGTGTGTACATCAAAGCTGTTTTGTTAGAGTATAAAGTGGTCCCTTGTTTGTTGGTGATGTAATCTATAGGGTGAGAGGGAAGCTTCTTTATTCCCCTATGTATATATGTATTAACTGCAGGAGAAGCCAAGGTGCCTTCTGCTTGTGTTTCTGGTCAGTCATCAGGTCACTTACCTACCAGAGTTCAGTAGCTGCAGAGGGACACTGAGCTCAGACGATAGCTGAGATAGATGGCCTTTGCTTTCTCACTATTCACTGAGAAAGTAAGCAATAGCAAGGTGGAGTGCAAAAGTGATTGCCTCCAGAAGGATTTTAAAATGACTGCGATGTTTCTGTGGTGCAGTGCTTTTTTTTTTTTCTTCCTCTTTCTGCTCCTTCTAATGGACCCAGCCAGATTTTCTCCATCGGCAGAGTGTCACCTCCCACAGAGAGGTTTGACAGGAACTGCTGTTCAGTTAGTGTAGTGCAACCAGACATCTCCAAGGACATCTACTGGAACACTGTCAATTTGTTAATATGCAGTGTCGGTCACTGTATCGTTTTCAGTTTTTATTGCATGCCATATTCGTACATCATAGATGCCCTTTCACAGGTCATCTCTAGGTTGGGTGCTCTGTTATGACACAGAGTCACAGTGGGATAATAGAATAGCAATGGGATAATGCTTCATAACTTTTAAAGTGTAATCACAACACGACAAAGTGCCCAAAGTACTTGTTACACCGCTTGCTGTGGCTGTGAAGCATGTGTTTCTGGACACACTCCAGACATTGATTTAATCAGTATTTAAAGGCAGAGTACGTGCTTTGACATCACCCATCTACAAAAAAAAACACAGATTATTCTAAAGATAGATTATAGATATATCAACATAGTAAATATACAGTATTGTGCAAATGTTTTAGGCATTTCATATGTTTACATTCTTATCATGCAGCATCATCAGGGATCAGAATAGAAGTTCTGGAGTAGATTCATGCTTCCCAAGGAATGCTCTGTCTTGATTAGATATGTACTTACTAAACAAAACCTCAACATTAAATCTGCACTGATTAATATTTTTGTATTAGCACTTGATCAAATGAATAAGTATAATGTGAAAGGTGGCCCTTGTAGTGACCAGCCAACCAGTATTAGTACAGGATTTTGCAGTTCCCCTCAGCTTTATGGTCTGCTTCATCATCTTTTGACTCATTTTGGTTTTACTGGTTCACACTCCAAATGTTAACCTGATCACTGAAGTGGCAATTTCCCCAAAGTGGGCTCAAGATAAATTTGTGCAGTCCAATGAACAAAACAAAATGAATATTTCTCTTACAAATACATTGTTCATTATCATTTCAGGTGTTTTATGACTTTTCTCTTGTTTTTCACCTTCCTTGTCAAAATAATAACTAAGGTGGAGGGTGGATTATAGGGGTTTTACTGGACCACAGCAAATGTCGGCAGCTCTCTTTCTCGCTCTCACACACACTGCAGTCAAACAGTTATTACCTCTCACCCATGTCCTATTTCAGCTGGATATATGAGCGAGAGCCAAGGTGATAAATTTGTCCCTTAAAGCTAAATTCATCAGCAGACAAGAGGGGATTCTGGCTCAACCTGACAGTCCACTACACCTTGACATTATTTATGCTCCATGCACTGACAGCTGTTCATTTGGCTTTCCTGCCCTCAACTCCTCTTCCCCCCTTGTCACCCTCCTCCAGGTTATTCCAGATTGGAAGGAACAGGAATGGGACACAGAGAAGCCAGACTCGTATGCTGGGATTTTCCACTTCCGCTTCTGGCGCTTTGGAGAATGGGTGGATGTGGTGATTGACGACCGGCTACCGACGGTGGACAACCAGCTGGTCTACTGCCACTCCGACGACAGCAACGAGTTCTGGAGTGCCCTGGTGGAAAAGGCCTATGCCAAGTTAGTATCAGTGCCAATAGATAGACAGATGCAATTGCAACATGCAGTGAATACACCTGTCTTTTTCAGAATTCAGACAATATCTAACTTGAGGTTGAAGACTTGTTTTTCATTCACCATTAATCTACAGATTATTTTATGATTATTTTTTCATTTTATAAAAATTCTTAACCAATTAAACATGTGATTTATTAAACACAAAAATAAAGAAAATCCAACCAAGTCCCAAACCCAAAGATACTGAATTTAAAACCAAGAAAAGCAAAAATCCTCACCTTGGAGAAGCTGCAACAAGCAAATAATTTGAAGTTTTGCCTAAAAAATTATAAATGATACATTTTTTGACCTTCTTAATAGTTGTAGCTTTAATAATCATTACTCAGCTGTCTTCCACTTCTGCGGGTTTTATGGCTGCTATGAGGCTTTGGATGGAGGAAACCCAGCCGATGCCCTGGTGGACTTCACTGGTGGTGTTTCAGAGCCTGTGGACTTGTTGGAGGGTCAGATGGCTACTGATGAAGTTGGCCGTAACCAGCTGTTTGAAAGAGTTCTCAAAGTCCACAACAGAGACGGCCTTATCAGCTGCTCCATTAGGGTAAGCATAGAGCTACATGGCAAAATCAGACACTGCAACTCAGCAGAGGGATGCCTTTTAGACCTGATTGCTTAGATTTAGATTCATTTAGGTTTTTCCTTAACACATTGTTTTAATTCATTATTTATATATATAAAGATGTGGCACTGCACACACACACACACACACACACACACACACACACACAAGTTCCTCACCAAACACGAGCAGACTTCAGGAGTGTATGCAGAGGATTTCTTCCATAGTGATTGTTCTCTAACAATCACCTCAGCCACATGTATGAGGCAAACATGTTGACAAAAGCGTTTTGCTCTTAGCACATACTCAAGGAAAGACTAAGAATCTACGGTCACATTAGCAGATCTGTTAGGCACAGTGTTATATTGAGTTAGTTGCTAACATGTTCACAAATGACAGTGCTAGCAATGCAGTAATACAGTATTCACCCATTCTCATTTATAAAAAAAATTGCTGTATAAAAATCTGCAACAGCTCAACAACAAACTACTATCCTAGGAACCAAAGAGGGAAATCTGAAATACTAACGTTGAAAAATGCTGATTGCAAATTATCTTAGTGGGTCAGCTGACCCATCGTTTGAGCCCCACAACATTGGAGTACATTTTTACACAGAAAAGGACTATGTATTTTGTCCCTAGTTTTTTACAGCATAGCGACATTTTGTGTGGAAACCTCACGGGCCGGTGTGGAGAGCAGGAAAAGTTAGAACGACCAAGACCTGTTCTCACGCACTGTACATATGGGCACATCAGTATTGCTTTAAGACCAACTTGAGAAATCCTGATCCGATCCTTTAATGTGAGTCAGATTCTGGTGCTTTTCACATTTTAAATGATATGGCTCTTTTTAAATACATGAGATTTTATTCTGGAGAGTCTATTATTCAATAGAAAGAGTAATGAGAGCACAGAAATGCATTTTCACCTTTTGCCATTGTTCTTATTACTTTAACTTGTATTCTTCAATTACAAATTGTTTTGAGGATGCATGAATTCTACACCTATTCTTTGGGAGACACTGTATGTTGGATGCTAATATTCATGGATCAATGAGTATGGCTGTTCTCCTGTTAGTCTTAATGAATTTTATTTTTCTTGGACAGATTTTAAAAAATGGCACAAAACAGGAGAGAAATGGTGATGACAGATGACGTTGGCCTTGTGAGCTTCCTCTTTCAGAAAAGAGAGACCGGCTTCAAGGGGGACAGGAAAACAACACATCAGATCCAAATCTCTGTTATTGTAAGGATAAAACAATGTATGAAATTTGCAGGATAATGTGTCGCATAAAAGCCAAATGTACTGAACAGATAACTATTGGATTGAAAAACCAATTTTCTGATAACTCTGCCTAATGAGTCTTTCCCCATTTCCTCTTATCACCAAAGCTGACCAAATAGTCCATTACTCACATTTAAAATGGTCACACCACTTTTATTTGATCGATCACCTGCACTCATCAAAAGTCTTCCACTATGTGGTTTCCCAAGCAACACCTCCCTCTAATGTGCTTCCTCAAGAAGCCATGAAAACATATGTTGCAAAACTTTAAGATGGCTTTACAAGATGCACAGTTATTCATCTGCATGTCCTTATGAAATATTTGGATCTAGAAGCTTGCTGTCATAGTGACTAGTTGCATGGCTACTTGTCGATCTAGCCAGTCAAGAACATCCTAGCACTAGTTATAGTATCTTCCAGAACTTCTTTGTAATTCTCTTTACTCTGCTAAATACGCCCTATCTAGAATTTTGTTCTTGAGATGAGTCCTAGAGACCTTCCCAGGTTTACTAGGCTCTAAATAACCATAACCCAACCTGGGACCTGAGTCGGCCCAGGTTTGGATTCTGCTACTAGTTTTTCTGCTACAGGTATTTGGTCTATGTGTCAATGTGTCTGTTACCTGAGTGGATCAGAATTTTGCTTTACTTAATCTAATATCTAATTTGAAATCAAACTTTATTTATTGAATTTGATTTATTGATTGATTCACAGCTATTTAATAGACTGGAACATTCTTTTGTCTTTTGCCCAGTTAGCTACAGAATGTGCTATTGCTGGTGCAGCAGGTGGAAATTTTTCTTTGTATAAATATTAAGCATATAAATTATTTTCATTTCTATTACTCCAAATTCTTAGGGCAATATTATTATTCCAGTGTGTATTGCTGCTTGTTAATTGATTGAATCAACTGATAGTGAAACATGCTGCCAATATTTGTGTTCTCTTTCATGTTAGGGTCGATTGCAGTATGGATTTTGTCCACTTATCCTCAGTTCTGTTCAAGTTGGGTTTGGCTCTGCTCAGGTCCCCCTTGGATTGGGTCTCTTCTTTGAAAATTATTTTATGTATATCAGGTTCTGGTAGTTAGAATATTTATCAATACAACCCATGGCCAAAACCGCTGTACCCATGCTGTAATCAAACAAAATGATCTGTTAATGTTTCAGCAATAACTGTACAGTCTTCTACACCCTCACTGTTTGTGCTTTTTCAGCAACAACAACCTATGTGTTTACCACATCCCAAGCTACTAGAAATACAGTTTCAGCGAAACAAAAAGCTGCTGCAGTCTGTAACAGCGTCTCTATGTACCGTTTCCAAAAATCTACCTGTAAACAATTTCCCAGACAACTGTAACAACCTTCCTCGTTTATTATTATTATTTTTTGTGATTCACAATAATATCTGTTTTTCACCAGTAAGCTTCCCTGTTTTGCTGTTTCCCAGGCGACTACAATAGAGGACATGGAGGCACGGCTGGACTGTGGCCTGGTCAAAGGCCACGCCTATGCTGTGACAGATGTACGGAAAGTGCGTCTAGGTCACGGACTACTGGCCTTTTTCAAGTCGGAGAAGCTGCATATGATTCGCATGAGGAACCCCTGGGGGGAGAAAGAATGGAGCGGCCCTTGGAGTGACAGGTAACCACAACACTGTCACCTACTGTACAGGCATAGATGAACTACAGCAGCTTGGCAAATCTTAGCTTTTGTGTCATGAAAGCTCACTGAGCCTTCTTCATTCATATTCCTTAATATTGTACAGTGATCTACACTATCAATCATAATTTTGGACACACTTTTCCATTAAATTCAGTGGAGAAGTGTGTCTAAATGTTTGACTGGTTAATAATGCCAGAGGAGCATATGTGACCATGTTTTGACCAGTACAAGTATAACCAATTTCAATTAAATTTTAATATTTCAATTGCACTGGTTATTTTGGTCTCTCAGAAATTGACACACAGAGAAGAGTGTGTTTCAGTCCAGTTTTACTTTCTTCTACCATACACTTGTTATGGCAACAGGCAAAGTTCAAGCTCTCTGTCTTTGAATTGCTAGCTACCAGACTTTGTGAAACAAACAGGGAGGTGGTAAAGCTGGATCATAATGGAGCCTGAATTATTAATAAGGGCAAAAGAGAGAAAGATGTTATTAAAGCAACGTGAGTCATCTCTCTTCTTTCTCGATCATTCACTCGCTCACACTGAATAATTTATTCATGGTTTGATAAAACCTGTTTACTGTAAATGGAGTCTGACAGACTGTTGAGATGTGGACATTTGTCAGTGAATTATAAACATAAAGGCATAAACACAGAGCTGATGTGTCCAGTAAATGCCTGTTTCCCCTGAGGAGTGAATACAGAATGGATCTTGATGTTTAGGTATGATTCACAGTAACAGATAAGCATACAATGTGTTTTTAACTGACACTTTAACATAATAAGACCCATGAGGAATAGACACGTACATGATTTATGTCTGAACGTGATAAATGAAATTACTGAGAAATAAAATTTACAATTGGATGATTATTAAAAGATTTACAACTAAATATCCCTCTATACATATTTTACTGTTCTACAAATAAAATGAATTGCTTCCTGTATATATTTTACATTAAACGTTTACCACTTTGAGCAGTGAGAAGACTTTACAAACATTTATGGAGGTAGTGTTTCAGAGCTTCACTAATGGTGACTGGAAAGTACTTAAAACTGTGTTTTTGCAGCCTCCGGACCGCATTTTTTTTAAAAAGGAGATATTTTATTATACAGTGATGGATTTATACCTGTAAAAAAAACTACTTAAACAGGAACAGACCTGAAAACAGGGAGACAGATTAAATAAAAATAAAATACAGTCAAATAGAACCTAATATCAGTCTTGCAATAAACCTGGGCCTGGATCTCTCTGCAGTGGATGTAAATAAAGTGCCACTATAGCAGGCCTGAAAATTGATAGTTTTAAAGCAAGTATTGAAAAAATATCAAATATTAATATACTGTATCCATCTAAAATTCACCTGTAACCCTATCTGCAGGATGCAAGATATCTGATCCCTAAAGTTGTAAAACTGATGCACAGTATGTAGAAATGGAAACTTCATAAAACATTAAAACGTGACAATAAAGCCAGTTTATTCATAAAATAGTATCAAAAAGATTGTTTTTTTTAATTGAGCAGTGAATATCAGACAGTAACTGTCATGCTGTTTGTGTGTCTTTGTTCTCATGTCTTGGTTCAATGTAGTTCAGAGGAGTGGAACAAGGTGAGCAAGAGTGAGAGAGAAAAGCTGGGTGTCACCGTGCAGGACGACGGCGAGTTCTGGTGAGAACCATTACTATATTGATTTTATTGTTCCTTTTCCCTCAAACTTTATTGTTGTCAAACTGGCATGGTAGGAGTGGACATGAAAGTTCAATGGCATGGGAGTGATTACATCTTCGTTCTATAGTCCTGGTTGTTTGATGGAAACGCCTCACCTCAACTGATGCTAATGCATTCCCTGTAGTCAGTATCCACTCTCTCTGGTGTCTTCTATCCTCTTCTTTTCCTGCCCTCCTGCAGGATGACGTTTGACGACTTCTGCCAGTACTTTACTGACTTGATCCTGTGCCGCCTCATCAACACCTCCTATCTGAGCATTCATAAAACCTGGGAGGAGGAGGTGATGAGAGGCTCCTGGATCCACCGTCAGGACCCCCTCCGCAACCGGTCCGGAGGCTGCATCAATCACAAGGCCACCTTCCTGCAAAACCCACAGGTTAGTTGAGGTAGTGATATGTACAGTACATGTATGTCACACAGCAGAGTGTGACTCCTGTTGAAGTGTTATATGATGTCCCTTTTCCCTCTTTTCAGTATGTGTTTGATGTGAAGAAGGTAGAAGATGAGGTGCTGATCTGCTTACAGCAAAAAGAAAAGCGAGCCACACACAAAGAGGGCAAAGGGGAAAACCTCGCTATAGGCTTCGATATTCACCGGGTAGAAAGGCACACATAAATATGCACAAGCACGGATGACACCTCCATAACACTTTCCATATGTGAATAGTTAATAAATGTGTGATTACCAGTTTTTCACTCTGACGTCTTTTCATCCTGCAGGTGGAGCTAAATCGAAAGTATCGTATGCACTCAGCCCAGCAGAAAGTAGCGGGCTCCATCTACATCAACTCACGCTGTGTCTTCCTCAGGAAGGAACTGAAGGAGGGCCGCTATGTCATCATTCCCACAACCTTCGACCCCAGGCAGCAGGGTGACTTCCTGCTCCGTGTCTTCACTGATGTGCCTTCAGACTGCAAGTAAATCTATTTCCTGTTTCTACCCAGTTGTAGGTGCTCCCATATCTCACTGAAAGCTAGACCTAAAATCAAATCTTATGAGCGTTGATTTATTCTCATAACTTGGGAGACTACATCCACATTAAGCCAGACCACACTAAACAGAACAATGACTAAATCTGCTCTTCAGCTGGCAAACATCAAAATTTGGTTAGGAGCGCGACAGAGAGTCAAGCTAACCATCTCATTATTTTATACCCAGAACGTCATCTAATAAACATAAATGCAGGATAATCACAACAGCTTTGTGATTGAGGAGTGATCAAAAATAAAGTTAGGGATGATATAAAGTGGTCTTTTCTTAACTGCCATATAGCCATGATTGTGAATGAGCAACTACAGACTTGCCTGGTTACATCTCTGGAATCTCAACCTGTCAAGATGCTTCTAGACAGCGAGCAGTTACCATCAGTGTTTTCTGATTTGAATCCCCAGCACAAGGGCACAATGGCACGATGGCAGTCATGTCCTACCAGCATTTACAGCTATCCAGCTCATATAATCTCATCATGCATCTTAACATAGTGGATTGTAGTAACAGAGAAATTAATTAACATTGTCACATGAATAATACAGATAGTTTTGCTAATTGGCATAAATATTGTTTATTATTACTAACCAGATAATTCATATCTAAAGCTGCTGTTGCATCACGTGTGTCTGCTGGTGAAGAGGCATGTTATTCAAATAACTCATACCTGTTGTTTCCCTCACTGTAGTTTCTGTGATTGCCATGGTTACACAAGAAGCTGGGGTGGCAAGTTGAAAAAGCTTCACAGTCTCTGTGATATTTTGAGAATTAAGAAGCATACGCTCTGGAGATCATTTTGAAAAAGCTGTTTTTAGGCTGGACAGAAGGCTGAAATAATAAAGCAGATGTGTGTTTGCAAATTTAACTGGCTTAGTTCATTTATCAGTGTTGATTTGAATCTCTAGAATGATCATGTCACAATAAAATTGCATACTGTAGGACAGAATATACTGTACCTGTATGTACTGGTTAGCCAGACAGTTTTGCTCTCAACTCATCTCACAGACTGAACAAGGCATTATGTTGTTATTGGTTAAGCACTGTGTTGATGCATACTAATGTAGCTCCCTTGTGTACTGTGCAAAAACACTGTCCTACAAAGACAAAATGCACCGAGCTACATCCTGCAATTTCATGTGTTCTGTAGTTGGTGCATTCTGTATTTGTATGGCAGAACAGAACTACTAATGATGCCTGAAGACAAACTGTACATCAGTCCAGTAAGCTTGAATGGTTCGCCGCACTGTCTCTTCCAGAGAGCTGATTCTGGACGAGCCTCCTCAGACATGTTGGACAGGGATGTGTGGCTACCCTCAGCTGGTCACTCAGGTCTATGTACTGAATGCTGAGGGTCTTCAGGGACAGGACTCCAATGGAGGTAGGACCACTGCATAGCAGCTGTATCTTGTTTTGCATATGTTAATGATCATGTTTCTGTGTGGTAAAGCACTGTAAACTCACTCAGATTTTCACAGCCTCAGTCCAAACAAGAAAAAATTCCTGAGCAAAGCACAAGGTACCACAGCACCATCTGCTGAAGCTATAGTTACTTATTTAGTTGTAGCCTGCAGTATACTGTAGTTACCCTCTTGAAGCTTTTGATGTGTGCATAGGATTGGAGCTTTTACATCTCATTCACCTTTAAAACCACAATGTGTAGATTTTTAAGGAATTATAGCATCTTTCAGTGAATTTTGATGCTTTAAGTTTAAAAAGAAAGTAGACAATCCCAGTGTAACATTCTGTGCAGTGTTCCCACACTGCTGATTCTGTCTTGGGCTGGGTCATTATGCTGAATGCCACAGTGTCCACCGATTGGTGCCACAGTCAGAAATATTTATTGCCTCCACATAATGGCTTTAATATTGATATTCCTTTGTTGCAAACAAACCAAGTGCACACATGGTAATCTGTGTCTTTTATGAGCAATTGTATTTATCTAAAGACTTTCCTGCAGCTGTAGATCCTTACGTGATCATCACCTGTGAAGGAGAGCGGGTTCGTTCACCAGTTCATAAGGACACTCAATGCCCAAATTTTGACATCAAAGGCTTGTTCTACCGCAAGAAACCCAAGGATGGTATTCACATCGAGGTGAGCTGTCACTCTGCAGTCTTCCATCTGTAGGGCTATAGCTATAGTATATGCCAACATAGGTTTGGGAAAGTGTGGGAAAGGGAGCCACCCCTCAGGGGAGATCATAAAAGCATTTTAGTCAAGTCAAATCATTTTTGAACACATCAAACTCAGTTGGCCACCAAGCCAAATCATTACTGCACACCATGCAAAGTGCTGCTTTTCATATCACTCCACATCGTATGTGTTCCATATACCTGCCTTAGCTGTGTGTAACGCAGTGCAATGTGGAATTCACAGTGCTAAATGTCTGAATTACTTTCTTCTGTGCCTGTGATTCCTCTAGTTTCCTATCAAAAACCTCTTCTGTCATGATCACCAAATTTGGGTGCTCGGTCTCAGTATAAAGCCGGAGTGTACAAGGTCTCATACTGCCACCTTGCAACTAATACACTGTGCCAGTGGAGCATCATCAGGACCAGTCCATGAAAATTCAAACTTTAAATAACCATTGTCATACTTCCTTCATTTTCTGCTTGCCACAAACTCTCTCCTCTTTCACTGTAGGTACTACAAATCGAACCACTTTGCCCCACACATAGCTGAGCTGAAGTTTGATGTTTACAGTTATTTATTTATTTATTTGGTATTTTTCTTCATGCTGTACCTCCCCTGAAGTCCTCTGGTGCCCCCCAGGGGATGCATGCCTCACACTTTGAAAACCGCTGTACTAACAAATGGCTGACCTACATTTTCATCATGGCAAAGCCCTGCAACCAAGCAGCTCATGTCTTGTTAATGGTCCATCTAAACCTTACATCTGAGATGCTGGCCTTTTCCTGGAAATTATTAAACTTTCTTCAGACATGTTTTATTGTGCTGCTGTTTAGCTGACAAACCAACAGACGATACAAAATCACTGTAATAGCAAGGCGTCTGGCACTGTGTAGTTCCTTACATCTGTACCGTTCTTGAGAATGCAATATCTGAGGAACACCTTGAGGGAATTTCTTCAAATTTGGCACAAATGTCCACTTGGACTGAAGGATGAATGGATTAGATTTTGGTGATCAAAGGTCAAGGTCAGTGACCTCACTTCTGTCCCATACCCATGAATTTGACTGGTTGGTGGAGGTATACAACAGTGAAGCAGTAATTCTAGTTCCTTCTGTTTTCACCAACCATTGGTCTGCACTTTGGATTTTATATATATTTTACAGTTAAAAAAATAAACTCCCACACACTGTCAACACTTATGTGGTTTTATATTAATAGCTACCTACAACAAATATGTATTTAAGTACTGTATATACAGACAAGAATTCTATTTAAGAAAGGTTCCTTCTGATTTATGCATTGCTTGACCTCTAATGACCTCTAAAGTCCTAGGTCTGTTTTGTGCAGAAATGCATTTAAGTTTATCTGAAACGTAATATGTGAGACATCAGTCCTCAATCAAAGTTAAAGCTTTTTTAGTAAAAAATGCTCAGGAAAACACAGGCAGGAAATTTTACACTGAAAAGACATAAAAATACTTAATTTCACATACTCAGATGTCTGAAGCCTCATTAGCTTTAGATAAACTTATCAGTACATTTATGAACAGAATGATGACCTTGGATCTCGTTCCCCATCACTTGCACTGAACTCGAGAACAATGGCAAGAATGAACAGGAGGAATGATTACAGCAAGCAAAACCTGTTTCAGTGTTCATGTGGGCATCTTTCCCTTGCTTGACAATTTGCAACCCTATCCTTTAATGTCTGTCCCTTGTGCATTTTCTGCAGTTTTTCCCTTCTTTTGCGGTTGTTTATTGCCTTTTGTCTTTTTCTTCTGTCTTATTCTACTTTCCCTTTTGCGTCGGGATCTCTGCCTTCCTCTCATGAGCGGTGAATAGATCTACAACAAGAACATGATTGTGGACACCTTCCTGGGTCAGGTAATCCTATTTAGCGGCCCCAATGAGCGGCAGGAGCAGCACACGCTTCACCTTCGTGACAAGGGTAACCGCCAAGACAGTGACCTTCCAGGCACGCTCACTGTGCGCCTCATCACCTCCACCACGCTCACCAACATCTGATACAATCATTTATATAGTTAGAATGATCAACACTCAAGGTGGCATTTAATCGTGCCTACCATTCATGTTCACCGTTCATCCTCCAACCACTATCGGAGCTCACTGTCTTTTCTTCTGCCACTTTTGTGTGTCTTAGTATTTTTCCCAGTTTTTTTATGTTTCTGCATCTAATTTTAGATTTGTTATAGGGTTTTTTTGACATTTCTGGATGCAAGGTGTCCTTAGACAATATTTGGGGTTGTATTGAATATCTTTGAATACATTCCTGCCTAATGTTCTCCATTATTTAGTACTGGCTTTAGACATTTCTTTTTAAAGTAAGTTTCATTGCATGTTTTGTAGTTAGTCTCGGAGAAACAGCATAGGGAGTCTGACCCATTATTATTACGTACAAACACCAACATACACATACATGTAGACCTTTCTGCACTCGCCATGCATGTGCCAATGTTTCCAAGGGCTATGCATTGCCTTAAGGCTGAGTCTGTCTTTCCAGCTTGAGGAGACGGGGGGTGGGGGGTTATGTGAAATACTCATTATGTTCTCATTTGCTGTCCTCAGTGTTAGCACAGCCTGAATTTGTGTTCCTTAAAATCAGCATTGCAACCCTTATTGTCATAGTTTTAGTTTCAGTCTTCTATATACTGGCATAACTTATACTCTTTTGTATCTGTGGATGATCCTCCCACCCAATCGGCCCACCCAGACACCTCAAGTCTTCAGCAGGTTGCCGGTGCTTTGGAGAGCATGCAGCACTGTCTGTCACTTTTTACTGTGGACTTTACAAACAAAGGCCAACAGCAGCTATTTTCTCCCTCTCGTGAGAGCTTTTCTGTGTTGTTCTGTGAGCGCAATCATGTGTGAAATCTTGCCTCCCGTCTTCCATCACTAGAATCGTTTGAAAATACCTGAAATGCTTTCTGCCGGTTGCTATGGACGATCTCAAACTGCATGGCTTAAAAAAACTGAACTCTGCCTGTGACACACCTCTATCCAGTCGTAGCTTAGCAGCCGGTGCTTTTGAGAATACCCAACCCCTCTCCCCTTTATGTGTACACCTTCCCAGTCCAGCGGAGTGCAAAGATTCGCGCAGACATAAATCAAGTGCTTTATGGGACCAAAGATGAGCCAGGCCCTTCACTCGCTTAGTCCCTTTTGGACTGGCCTGGCCTAGGCCGAGGCAAGTTACAAACCGCCACCCCCTGTGCCACATCATCTCTTAATGGCAACACCACTGCCTGACACTTCCTCTGACTTGAGTCTGTTGGCCTGGGCCAAAGACCCATGCCACGTGACCCCAAGAGACTGCAGCTGTGCTTCTGCTGTTGGCACAGAACAGGCGTGTGTGTTTGTTTGTGTGTGTGTCCCCTGCTAGTTTCAGTGCTGTCCTGAATATCTGGGAGTGTTTGGGTAAATGTATATCTGTCAATCCACATTTACTTGGAAGAAAACAATTTCTGTGGAAAGGTGTGAACTGAAAGGAATACAGCCCTTTACGGGGAAACACACCTTGCACTTTATTCAGTTTTAATGGGGTGAAAAGGCCCTTTATGATGAAAGAAAGAGGAATAGCAAGAGGAGACATTCTGCCAAACAACCTGTGCCATCACCTTGGTCCTGGCTTTGCCTCCACAGCAGGAAAACAACAATGAACATGGGGTGAAATGTCCAGTGATTTCAGAGGGGTTTTGCATTTTAACCAACATTGGTATATTGTAATCTATCTCTTGTGATCCATTGCATTTCTTGCATAGAACATATTGCCATCCAATGTGACCTTTTAGCCCCTAGTGGGCTTTTTGTATCTGAGGTCCAGAAAAAAATTTCAACTTGTGTTTTTTGTTTTGTCAAATGTGCAATATCATTAGCGTATGTCTTAGTCTTTTCTCCTGTTTCATTAAAAACAGTAAAAATGTAAGTTACTTCCATTAGACCTTTCCTTTGAACATCAAACAAACAAACAGTGGACTAATCTCTTACAAGCTGTCAAGTTCATTTTTCTAATTTTTTCAGCACCTTTTACCATTACTTGAACTGTTACATAGCATTTAATGGACTCCACCTTTATGTACAGCATCTTTATAAATGTGTCTTGCATGGGTTATTTTCCAATATGTTCATGGCCTTGTATTGTACTATTTAATTGTTAATATATATATTTATTCTTTCTATCTCAAAAGTCTTGGAAATGCTAGTTTTGAACAGTCAGCATGTCTACACTAATGCACCTCATGTCAGTCTGACCATATCAGCGGGTTTGAAACAGTTATGTCTTGTAACACAGTGGTGCATTCATAATGCCTCTAGCATCTGTTGTTGACTAATATTTAGGTGCTATTTTTTCTCTGTGTGCTCTTTTATGTTGTGTTCAGCCTGACAGAGGGACAGAAATGAGAGTTAGGCTTGAATTTGCTGATAGACAGCCAGTGTTAGAAACTGTAGTGCCAACAAGAGGAAGGTTAGACATGGGAACATGTGCATAGATAGTTGCTGGTTTTTGTTTGACGACAGAAACTCGTCTCCCTCCTCACTAAGTACCAATGAAGTATTCTTGTGAAAGGCACTTAAATAATAACTGCTCCAGTGGAGCCTCCTAGTAGTCAGCTATGGTACAGGACAACTTCCAGGTCTGACTGTACATACGTATTTGTGTAACTCTTGACCAACCCCCACCCCCCACCCAGGTCAGTACTGTGAATATCTACACAATCAGCTTGTAAACGTTAAGAGAGACTTACATTTGTTTGGAATATTGGTGCCAAAGGCATCGGTTGCTGCATGGATTTGGTGAAATTGACTACACAGATCAGGGGGTGACATTAGCTCCAGTTTGTGCCTCTCATGGATCACCATTACAATTGAGTCACAGAGACAGAGCTAAGCATCCACTTTTTTGAAAATAATAATAATAATAATCTGGTGATCTTCAAAAAAAAAAGAAACCATAGGTCCTTGAACAAAAGCTTACTGCTATTCTGAAGATACAGTATTTTATGAATCTTCAAAGACTTTTCTAACATCTGGATGAAAAAAAGTTTTGTATGCGACTCGACATAAATGATTTCTATCCTGTTTTCCAAGTTATGACTTTGTGTCCTAATCCTAATGGCTGCCAGAAATAATGTCCTTACTCAATTTGTGCTTGTGCCTGCTCAGTGAACCAAGCTTAGAGTTCTAGCTGTCTATATTAGTGTTACCAGCTATTTTCAAATGAAATATCATGTCAACACTGTATATATCTTGTTTTACAAAAAGAGCAAGGACCTACAGTATGAAATTTCAGGCTTCTAGGAAAGAAAATACTGTATACTGTAGTCACAACTTGAGAAACTAGGTAAAAAGTGACACTGGCATCAGCTAGAGACTAAACTAGACAAAATCCCTTCTTGCTTCCTAGTCAACATTAGCGTGATTGGTTGGAATTTCATCCACTTTCCACTGTAATCAAGATTTAAGCAGGCCAGTGATCACTGTTGGTTGATACGTAATGTGACCACACGGGTCTTAAGGATGATGACTACCATGCGCTAGTAGCCCAAAGAAGGAACCCTGGGTGACTCACATGTACAGACGCACACTGGAACTCCCAGAAGGGAGCCCAGTTAGGGGTTTAAAAATATAAAAAGTGTCAGCCTGCCACCAAATCATGTTGGGTTGCACATGTGGCATTACAAGTGGATTGGACTGTCTAATACATAACTAATAAACGGATATTTGCATAAGCATGACCAAGCTAATAACAGTTACATGGTACATTCATGAATACAAATTCAGACGTAAATGTTTAACTTCAACCAGTGTTTAAAGTGATATTTATGCTTCTGCTGTAGTTGTGAAACAGTGTAGACGCTGTAGTTTGGGTAAATTTGTCCGATAACAAATTAATACCAGGGGAAGCAAATATGATGAAGTCGCATGTGCCATAGATATTCCATAGAAGCCTTAACATGGTGTTAATTAGCCACCAATAAGAAACAAGTATTAAATACTTCAAGGTGTTGTGTGTTATCTGTATACAGTTGCTGCTTTTATAATGTTTTATTACATGGACTTCAGTCGTATGTTGAAAACAATCAGCTTGCTATGTAGCAGCAAGTAAACTTAATTAGAATCAAAGTTATTTAATTGTGAGCACAATACTCTTGGATGGCACATTTTCATTGTCACATCTGTGTTGCTAATTCCAGACCAAGATCTCTGCATTGTACTGTATGTGCAGATGAATAATGTGACACCGTGTTCACCTGTGTGCCAAGAAGTAAAGCCTGTATGAACATCAAATTTACCCCTTCAAGTCCACTGGATGCAGTTCTGTCATGTCTCTTTTGTGGTTCAGTTGTCCACTGGGAGTATTACTGAAGCAAGTGTCTTCACCAGCCACATTTCAAGTGTACTTGACCAATACTTTTGTTTTACAAATATAAAGAAACACTTTTGCAGCATCTTACCACGTGGTAACAGATACCATGTGGCTGTACCTTACTCATTTTTATTTTAGTAGGCCATCTTTAAAGAAAGTGAAGAGTGTTGGATGTGATGTTTTGCTTATGACCCCAGTATTCTTAAGGGTTAAGACTGTCAAGAATTCAACTTGTATTCATGAATGTGCCATGTTATTGTTACTTCATAATGAAAGCTTCCCTGCAGACGTCATCAGATTTTGTCTTCACTCGATGCCACTACCATGTTTTACCAGTTGTTTTATTTTGTGGCTCCCTCTTTTTATTATTTGTGTGTGGATGTGATACAAACATATAATGATGGGCGCACAGCCTGACAGCTTTGACATATGGGAGTCATTCACAGTATTACAGTAAAAATAAGTAGGGAGGCAAAATATCAGCATGTCAAGTTTAATGTGAAATGTTGCTACTGTGTTCCTCTGTAAGTTTCTACTCCTGTGCTACAGCAGTGCCAAAAAGGCAAATGGTTTATTGTAAAAAGATGTTTTGCAGGCGGTTATACAGTTATATGCTGTAAAGATGTTTGCTATGTAACAGTTGGATAAACGTAAGACAGGTCCGATTATCCTTTGTTGGGGTTTTTCTTTGTACCTCTCTTTGTTCTCCACTACTTGTCCTTTTTGTTTCCGTCTTTGTCATGGAGTGATATTTACTGCATTGCTGTGGTTACCCATTGTAATTGTTGTACACTGTGATCTTATGACAGTGAGTGTGTTATGACTGTCACTGTTAACCATCTGTTTTACGTATATATTATCCGCACGGCTATGCCAAATCAGAAACCTTTCAGATGAAGGTGAACTGCTCACAATGGTGGTGACTTTTGTACGAATCCAAAAATGCCAGTGCATGTAGCAAAACCTCTTCAGATTTTCTTGCACCATTATGAATCACAGATTATATATTTTTAGTTGTCAGAGTGTTTTAAAACCTAATTTACTGTTGCTACTTTGATAAACATACTTTGTGAAGCACAAGGCTTATGTTGCATATTTACATTCATTAATACTATCTAGTTTTATAATGTTTTATATTCAGTGGCCTGCATTATACAGTATGTATATAAAAGTAGCAGCAATGTCATTAACTTTATTTTACAGGTTCGTTATTTCCAAATAATTTCTTGATTGTTTCCTGGAAAGAATCAAGTACTTTTGTACTAATTGCAGGAAAAATAGACTTTAGTCGTTTTAGATAGTGTTGCTAGTTGTGTTGTTTATTGTTGATTTCCAAATTAATTCAAATAAAAGAAATTGCTCCATTTAAACCACAAATAATATTTATTACACACTCACTTATTTTTTTAAACTTTATTCTTCATATATACTGTATTGTATTTGTTGGTTGACATAGCTCCCCGATACCCTCTGAATAAAGATCTCAAGGTTGTGCTAGCTTGGCATTTAGAAATACTGCAACTAGAAGTGTACTAACTGACCACTCTGTATTATATGGTTCTTTCCAGGAAATTGATGGGGAGATTATTTTAAATAAACTAGAATTTACAGACTCATAAAATAAAGCATTACTCAATCTAATTTAACAGTTATCCTTATGGTGTCTATGTTTCGATGGATGTTAAACTATACTCAGCACATTTATTTACAAGAGGAAGATGTTCTTGCTCACTACCTC